TGAAGTCTTTAAAGGTCTGGTACAATGTCGAACTCGACTTGATGCCGAACGTGACTAGCGTGATGATGGCTGATGCGGCGCTGATTGGATCCGCCATCGTGAAAACTCTAGATCGTGTAGAGGTAGATTGGAACGAAGTTGAGAGATATGGTTCGATGATGGAACGATGACGTGGATGGATTTGTCATTTGAGCAGGTATCGCAAATTAGTAGGTACATCCGGGTCACGGGTGCAGGTGAACCCCGCTATTGCGGCGTGAACGCCTTGTCAAATGCGCCAATCAAGACGTGTTCCAAGGGCAGTCCTTGTCAGAGCCTGATTTTGTCACTCAACTGCAGCAGTGGTGCAAAGTACAGAGTGCGTCAACAAGACAAACACTGCTCTTGACCGGTCCCAGTCCTCATACAGAATCCATGCCTTATTAAGGCTTGTTATGGTGGAGCGATCCTGGCTAATCGATCCCGACATACCGTGCACGTGCACCCAACGCGCGCCGTCAGCCAGCGCACGGAATCAGCCCTAATTATCGAAACACGACAAACAGCGAGAAATCAATTTTTGGAACCGCCCATCACAACAGCCTCAAAACCATCTGCTAGCAGTTGTAATGGTCTCTACAGGCCATCACGCGTCCCCCCGCGTCCCCCGCGTCCCCCAGCGTCGGTCTGGCACCTGTAGAGTAGCTGTTGCGGCCCTGGCAGACACAGACGAACAGAACCTGCGAGCAGGCTACTTAACATGACACGTCCACCAAATGCAGCGGCAGCCATCTAGCCACGACACAGCAATGCAAGACGCGACAACGGAGCTCAGACACCCCTTTGCGCATATAGGTCACAACATACACAACACAGTCACTGATGAGCTTCCTGGTCAGCCTATCGCTATCGGACAATGCCTGCAGCGTCCCGCATCGACGAGCCCTCGCGCTGCACAGCATCACCTCCCACGCGAATCACCTCACAGACACCCGGCATGCTACCATCGTGTGCTACCACATACTTACAGACCATCAGACAGCGTCGTCTACTGTCGCCCCACGTGTTTAGGGAGTGGTGCCCCTTCGATACAACCGAAAAGGTCTGAGGAGATTCGCGCGAGAGCTCTCCTGCTCAGCAGGCTCAATGGCACGCACGAGCGGAGCATCGCTCTTGTGGAGCTGCGTTACAACGAAATGCTGCTGCCGCAGCGCCTGGTAGTAGGTCACACCACAAAACACAGCCGCATGGGAACCTAGTGGACGGCATCACAACACTGAAGAACACCGGAGTTTAGAGAACACATTGCAGGCCTCGGGGCACGAGGGCAAGCTAACACACACGACAGCCGAACGCTAGGGTGACACTGAAGGTATTGCGGTCGCAAAGCATGAGGCAACCGTGCCTCTACGAGCCTTGAAACAACGCTACACATATGAGGCTTCGAGTACGGCAGACACACAGGACAACAGTTCGAGTAACACAAATACAGGCAAACACGTTACCTCCAAAGACGAAATGTACATGATCGTAGATAGAAGCCAGATGCGGCAGGCCTCTGGGGACAGATGGCTCATTCGGGAGTGGATTGGGGCGGTGCTGATCAAGGTCTGCATCGCGTCGGCTGTCTGCCACGCTTGTCAACCGAGCGTAGCTGCGAGCTTCGCGGTTGAAACTGTGTAGGAATCAACCAACCAACCATTCGTCGCGACAGCACTTGTTCGACGCCGCGATCCCGTAGGACATACTGGTATGTCTTCGACACAAAGATTTTGAGAACCAAACCGGAAAATTGCACGACCCTCGAGTGTTGCAGACCTACCGTTAATGCCGCCGCCAACCGACGAGAAACCGTTCGTGCGAGCTCTTCGAGTCATCGCACTCTTCCACGATATCCAAGCTAGGAAGCACAGCAGATGAGACCCGTGGACGGGGCTCCTGCTTCTGCCAGGGAAGTTTGATAGGGTGCATCATCTGCTCGAGCAAGACGAGGAGTTGCGAAGGTTCGATGACTACGACGCCTGGAAACACCGGCTTGTTTTTCGCATGCCTACAGCCGTGTACGAAGTGTTCATCGCGTGGGTCGAGGATGCAGTCTGCAGTGGACCAAAACTGTTCCGTGAGGGATTAGGCGATGCGGCGGCTTTCGCCAAGAAGGTGAATCCAGCTCGGTCTATTGAGAAATAATTTCTGGTTGGCAATGCTCTACCGGGCAAGGAATCGAAATACGAACCCGATGCGTCTTTTTGGCACGACAACGCACATCACCCTGGGATTATCATCGAGGTTGCATATTCACAGAAAAAGAAGAGACTGAGCCGACTAGCTCAAGACTATCTCTTAGACTCGGATGCAAATGTACGAGGCGTTGTCGGGTTGGACATCGAGTATGGCAAGAAAGGCTCGCGCGAGGCAAAATTGTCTGTGTGGCGAACACGCGTGGTTCATACCCCTGCAGGAGATTGCAGTTGATGTATACTGAGGTGCAGAAAAATGCTTATGTTGCCATGGCTGACAGTCTCCTAAGACGTTCCGCGATCATGACGGAAAGCCTATCAATCATCAAGGCCTGCGGCAACGCCTTAGCGATTTTGCTCATGAAAGATTGGTGGAGGATGCGATCGGTAGCCGGGATAAGGACCTGGCGGTCTCTGCTCAACAGCTCTGCTCTCGGAGCGCAGCGGAGGTGAGAACAGACCGGAGAGGATCGTTGAGTAAGGATCCGATCGCTCCTGGAATCAAAAAGCGGAAGAGATCAGAGACATCTGAAGACAGAATTGCATCCGGTGACGAAGCATGGTATGTCGAGCAAGAGGAGAGGACAGCGAAGCGCATAGCGGGCGATGACCCTAATTATGAAGATCGATTGCGAATGAAGAGCTCGTTAGATTGAATACACCAGTACTGTTGACCACTCCACAAAATCTTGCATTGGCGCCTGCTTATAGGGCGTACGGCGTTGCCTACCGATAGCTAAAGTAGCGATGCGCGAAGCGACTCTGTTTAGCTTCTGGTATCACGGCAGTATGTGCAATAGATTGTAAAAGATTCTAAGCATTACTAACGTAGAGCAACGCTGTATGCACGTTGCAGATGTAATTTGTAACATTGGCAAGAAGGGCAGCAAGAGCAACGTAATTTTGTGTTGGGAGGATTGGGACAAGCTTGCAAACAGCTTCGTGTTACTTGTAACAGTAGGAATAAGGCTGAAGAAAGAACACGATTCTGGTCCTTTGAAAAGCCAAGAGTTGCACAAATGGCTTTATTGTGCGTCTCCAGAAATCGTCTTTCGGACAAAGTCTATCGTTAAATCGCTCCAAGATTCGATAGACAGTATGGTTCAAAGTAGAGCGTACCCAAAATCATGCTTCACCCACGTCGTACCAATACTCAGCAAAACATGGGCGGTCGGGTTGAACGCCATGCAGATGTTTACGAACAAATATCCGACGACTTTCCCTCTTAGTCCATCCGTTTCCTCGTCTCGTTCGAAGATGCCTTTTCACGCTTAAATCCTGATTGAGCCTGAGTTACGGCACTTGTCTGATGAAGAGTCGAACAGCTCTCTCCTTCCGTGTTCCCGACTCGAGTGGGGTGGCTGGTAAGACTGGACTCTGGAGCAAAGGCGCCAAATCGACTTGCATAACGCTTTTCAGCCAAGAATCGGAGGTCCTCCCCTGACATGGAGCCGACCAATTGTGCTGCATTGTTTCTGGAAATCGCTTTCTTGACGTCAAACAAATCAGCCAGAGTATTTGCCACTACTTGATCGCTGTCGCCGTCAGCAATAACCTCCCCAACTTTGTAGACTTTCTGGGGCGAGGCTTCGCTTGCAATTTTGCAAACCTCTAAGCACTGCTTAGATGTATTGATGTCTTCCAACAGACGCCTTCTTTCCTCATCACTTTTCGGACCATCTTTGAGGATCAATGACTGTAGCCGATCTTGGAGATGGTCTATGATGTTTGCAAAGCTGTCCCGGTTCTTGTCAAGAGCTTGACGTGTGAGTACCTGTGCTTCGAAGCTCTGCTGCTCACCGGTTCCAGTGGCGTTTTGCCCATCTTGTAACACAGTCGATTTCCGATTCAGGGATTCGAGAAACTCTTTTGCGTCTTCGCAGATACGGAGACATGTCTGAGTGACTTCTTTTTCGTCGCCAAGGTTAGCCTTTGTGGTGGACATGTTCGAGTTCGGATAGCGCTGCAATTTCTCGTCGACCCGCTGCAAGTGAACATTGAGCTCATACACTGTGTCTCGTATCATCTCGTTGTACTCATCTAGCGCCTGCTGAGAGACTTTGGCAGCACGTCTGGTATTTTCGTTAGCGAAGTTCGGGAACTGTGATACCGGCATACATGGTGATGGTGCCTAGACCAACCGTAATCGTGGATTTGTACCCAGATATCGTGTCAATGAACTCGTTTATGTCCCCTCTCATGAACTCTAGCTTAGCCCAATCCCGAAAGCCAGCCTTGTCCTTTTGGCTGAAAGATCGCATGGATTCCTCGAATTCTTTGCATACTTCGCTGCATCGGTCGATAGGCCCTCGGAGAAGTGTAGATATAGATGCTTCTGCATAAGCCACCTCTTTCAAGGAATCCAAAACGCCAATGATTCCTTGGAGCTCATCTTGAAGCCTCTGCAAGGTCTTGTCTCGTCCTTTGAAGCGTGAGACGGTTTCGTAGAGCGACTTGACTGACTGAACCGTGACTGTAACAAGAGCTACCACTGACGCCGTAGTACTCAAAGGGTCTGCCATCGAAGACAATAGCGCGGTGCACGTGCGAGGTATTGGTGTGTTATTGATGCTAGACTGAACGTTTGACGATGGCTGAAGAGAAAGAGAGGCGGGGTTGTTAAGTACATCGAATACCCGCATAGCTGATGGCTATGGCGATTTGCAATAGCTGATTGGTTAGATTAGCGCTGTGGCTTTTGATACTATTGACAAGGATTTCGGATTTGTGCTGTTTATCAGGTATTGACTAATGCATGGTCCTGGGTGCTTCTCGAAGTAACGTTAGAATTGGAACATTCTACGGGCACTTGTGATGTTGGAAGATCCAACTTTGATGAGACGAGTAGATGCTGCCGTCGATTTTGGCGACTGCGTTTCGCCACTTTTGCCCTGCCGTGCGCTACACGCGCTAACCCGCATTTATGCAAGCGTTACTGTCCGTGCGCAGTCAACGAGTCACCCCACCAATATCAAATAGCTATCATCGTGAGATTTCTTGGTGTATTGCTATATAGAGGCGTGTAAAGCGCTTGAACTACTTGTATCTCGCTAGCATCTTGAGTTTGCGGTCGTGTCGGCCATATTTAGGTGGGGGAGACGCCGCAGGTGGACCAGCGTCAACCCGGCTTGGTGCAGCAGCAACACGACGACGCTTTGTCGGTTTTTTTGCTGGTTTGTTTGAGGCTTTTCGCTTAAGCTTATTTGCTATATCCTGTAATTTTTGGTGGTTGAAGCGTCGCGTTGCTGGTTTTGGAGAGCCCGCTTTGCAGCTGCTTCCTCACGCTGCCGTACCTGCTCGGCATCACGCTCGATCGTGGCTTCTTGTCGAGCCACCCTTGCAGCTTCTTGACTCCGCTTCTTGTCAGCTGCTTCTACCGCTCTTGCCTCGTTATCCCGAGTTTGTTTTCTTTTTTCCTTTTCTTTTTTTTAAGGTGGAGCTCCGCGGCTTCGTCCAGTTCTACGGCCTTGCGCGCGCGCTCGCTGGCAAGCTTCTTAGGACTGTAGAATACAGCGCCGCCGTGCCAGTCGTCGCCTTCTCGTGTAGTCAGTGTTGTAGACTTGATCGGGCGCTTTCGAATGAGGTTGAGTTCAGCGCACAGCTCCGCGTTTTGGAGGCGGAGAAGCTCGTTGTTGACCTGCAGCGAGTGTAGGCCTTGGGACAGCCGTTTGGCTTCAAATTTTAGCCTTGTCAGCCACTGCAGCGTCAACGATCTTGCGCAGCTGAGGCCAGGTATCGCCATCGCCTTGGTCTCCAATTCCTGGGTCGTCACCTTATTTTTGTGGGTTGTTGTTCAAGCGTTGAAGTACCTAGCTTGCGTCCATCGGCCATACGCCTGTAGCTTGAAAACTCTTCAGTATGAGATCGTGAGTCATTGTAAAGCTCCAAGCCGGCCAAAAGTGACGATAGAAATCCTGTTTAGTGATCCTTGAGAGGCCTTGGGTTCGCTGGAGGTGTTGGGTAAGCTCCTTGGCGAAGTGCTTCGAAAGCGGCCCAAAGAGAACCACATCTAACGGCTGCAAGCTGTGGGTTGAATGGGGAGGATACACCATAACCATAATATGTTTGGCTTCACAAAACTCTACAAAATCGGGCGTGAGGTGGCTGGCGTGCCTGTTGAGGATTAGATGGCGCTATTGCTGGCGAGCTTTGGCTGCTGTATGACGTTCGGACACCTGTTGAAGCTAGGCAAGTCCCAACTCGTTATTGGACCATCCCAAAGCCGAGTGGGATACAAATACTTGGTGTTGTTGGGTCTCCAAAAGGTCGTGAACCCAGCTTGATTGAACCCCGGAGGTGCCCTGGTAGATAAGAGCGGGCGGCAATGCCTCTCCAGAAGCGCATACGCAAGCTAGCAGCGTTACCCATTCCCTGTTGCCATCTCTCATCGCTGTAGTACGCTCCCCCGACTTATAAACTGCCTTGGAGAAGATCCTCTTCCCGCGATCGGCGATACCGACAAAGAAGCCCTTCTCATCCATATTGTACGTGTTGCGCTCTTCAATCTCATGTTCTCGCATCTTGGAGTGCAGCAAGTTGAAGTACAACTCGTATTTACGCTTGTTGTCAGCCAAGTGACGCTCACGATCCATAACGGTGTCCCATTTGGAGATGAGCTCATCGGGATAACGGTGTTGAAACCGGGTAACCCAGCTATCCGAAACCTCATATTGCGCAACCGCGCTGCCGGAATTTCTCAAAATACTCCTTGTAAGTGATACTCCTTCTCTTTTGTACCCTTCTATGTACCCGATAAGCTCATCCTCTTGTTGTGAGATGAGATTTCGTCGATGTTCGGCCGCCTCTGTGCCCCGGGGTTGCTGTGCGCCCCGGTGCCTCCGCTACAGCGTCGCTCGATCAACTCCGAATATTTTTGCAACTTGGCGGTACGAGAATCTATCTCCAGCCTTACGCAATTCGATATGTTCAATTGCTTCTTGGATCGGGTCCATGATTGTGGAGTTACGACGCGTTGAAGGTGGGTGAGCTCATGAGGCAGCGGGGGTTGGGGTGGCTCGTTGACTGAACTGGCTCGTTGGCTGCGCACGGACTGTAGAGGACATCAGCCGCGGCAAACCCTGAGAGCAATCATGTATACCTTTAGTGGTATTGTTATCCTGTAGGAAAACGTTTGCGCTCGAGATATCAGTCATCGCGATTATCTACATGTGGTTCTTATTTATAATGCGGGACGCAACGCGGCTGCCATAACGCGCCCTCGAACGGTCCACTTTCGTTACAACAATCCATTTGCGCATTCGTTCGAAAAAGCAATCTGAACATGCAGGCTGTTATATAGCGCACTTTTGCAGAAACTCGTTAGAATTTTCCTATCTATCGTCCCAACCCGCAAGCCTCTGGATTCCACTGCCGTCCCATAAATTCCTTCAACTCAGCACCCCATTATAACCACGCCTAATTCCATCATCACACTCCCAGATCCCCAGTAACTCCATCTCTCGCCTCCTGCTTCGTTTTTCACAATCCACTCATCCATACCCACACAAGCGCCTGCCGCAACTAGCAATATCCCAGCATTCCCTCAATTTCAAGCCTATATCGCCGCTAAGATAGCAATGCCTCCAAAAACATCTTTTACGCCGTATAGAACTATGGTATGCTCGAACAGCGCCTATTCTATTAGCAACCATACAGCGAGTGTGCTAGAGGCAGCGCTGCAGCTCAAGAGCTAACTGCTACAGCAGGGTAAAATACATAGGTCAGGCTAATTATTAAAAACATGCCACCAAAGGCGGCGGAGAAGAATGAGACGTAGGGGTAGACAGATACGGCGCGTAATGGCACTGTTGTCTTGGTTTTGCGGTCTCGATCTGTATAGAATAAGTATCAGGGCGAACAGCTTTTCCGTGATATGCCTACTTGCTGCCTTCGTACTCACAGCTCGTTCGACGCGTGCGCACAATACCGCGGAATTCTCGCTTCCTAGGAACATCGGTATTTTGGAAAGCAAACCATGGATTGTGTATCGCCCTCAAGGCCTCTTGTAGCGCCCTTAAGTCACACCATCGGCTAAACTGCGGTCATGCGAAGGGCTCTTGTCCTTGCATTTATGCTTATGGTCTACTCGATCGATCGATCGGTAATGTTGCACTCTTCATATCTTATAGTGGGAGTCGTGAGCACTCAATGAGAACTGTTGATGACACGCTTGAGTTACGAACTATCTACTCAACCCGCCGGTAGACTATCTTTCAATTCTTTATCTTCTGCCGAGAAAGCGAGTGAATCTCAGGCGGCACTATCGAAGACAGTATTGGTGGCAGTGCAACCTCTTCCGGAATGTTGAACAAGCGCATACGAAGGATGATACCGCTCAAATAAGGCGATGCGGTCAAGACTGCAGCCGGTACGCTCAACAACAGGCTCAAAGCAAGCACAAAAACCCGAACGACCCCAAAACCATTCTGTGTAAGCATTCCGCCCGCGATACCGACACCAATTGAGGTTTGCAGCCAAAGCGCTCGGAAGCTGTCCCGCCAGCCGAGGCCAAGACGCTCGCGATTTTGGCCTTCCCAGCCAAATGAACTTTCAATGAAGGAACCGAAGACCTGAGCAGTTATCGCGATACTAATGGTGGGAGCGACGAGCGCTATATAGAGAAAATGTAACAAACAGGAGATGGCCCAGCGAAAGCCATCGTCGAAGCTTCTGACGCACTTCCTTGCTATGTAGGCAATGCTAGCAGCCCTGGGGAAAGTGGTCAAAGCGACGATCAGCCGTTGCGAGTAAACGTTGAGATAATCGATATCCTCAGTGCTGGACTGGTTCATTGCCGACCTGACAATAATAGCAGAGGTGACCACGGTCCAAACAGCCGGGCCCAGATATGAACATATGATCTGACATATCTGGACGCGGTCAAAGAAATCCAGGCCAGGCTGCTTGAGCAAAGCAATGTACTGAAGAGTACCCCGGCACCAGCGAACATCCCGGCGAATATGGTCAATCAGAGTAGGCGGGTTCGCTTCGTAACTACCAGTCTCGACGGGCAGCAGCCAGACTTCGTAGCCAGCGCGGCCCATGAACTTGGATTCTATGACGTCGTGACTCAGAACCCATCCCCCGAGCGGCGGTCTCTCCGCGAGAAACGGCAATTTACAGTGATGCAGAAAAGCGCGAGTGCGAATGGTTGCGTTGTGACCCCAATAAATCGCACGATCGCGGTACCACCAGCTCAGACCCGTGTTGTGGATATGCCTGGTGAAGAAGTTCATGATGCGGTTGAAGCCACTTATGGACGGTGTGCTGCCGAATTGGGTTTGTATGATGCCAATTTGAGGATTCTTCTCCATGCTGTCGACTAGTCGTACCAGAAGATCACCACTCATAGTGCTGTCCGAGTCGAGTGGAACGAAGAATTCATCGCCCTGGGAATGTTGCTCGACATAGTCAAAAGCATTGCCAGCTTTGAAGCCAATGTTTTCCTTGCGGCGGCGGTAAAAAGCCGTTCGATACGTGCCCATGCTCAGGCTATCTTTGATCTCCTCGAATCCTTCTTCTTCCATGCGTATGACGTCCACGTTGGTTGTATCGCTTAGCAAGACGAACCTGAAGCTTTCCAGTCGACCAATTTGAGACAAGCTGTCGTGGATAGCGAGCAGGCGATCGAATATCGGACCTGGGTCTTCGTTACGCATGTAGATGGTAAGTGCCGTGGTTGAATGTAGTTCTGGAAGCGGACCTTTGGCGTCGAAGTAAGAGAATATGGATCTCTCCGGGTTCCCGAATATAATGATACAAAGGCCAATGGTGCTAGTCCAGAGATCGATGACAAGTGAGATGGAGCCGAAGAAGATGCAGATGAGGAGGAAGACTTCAAAAGAGTCGATACCGCCCGGTTCGAGTATAACAAAGCTGTTCCACATGATGAGAGACATTGTGCTAGTATGAAGGCCTAGTACCAGCAATTGACGCCCCGTGACCCCATGGGCGTGATTCGATATGGGATCATGACTCATATTGTATAGATTCTTGTCCGGACGTCTGGGGCCTGTTGTGTACTGAACTTGTGGAGACAGGATATTTCGCGGAGAAGAAGTTGAGCTGAGAGTAGTAGAAAACATCTCTTTCTTGTGTACGTGCAGAAGCTGGTAAATCTAGAATATCAAGGTGAAATGGACGGAGTAAATTGGAAAGGGCCTTGAAGACAAAGACTACCACTGAACATACCTAGCGATGGGTAGTTATGCTGCGCATGGTCTTGAGATAGGGATATAATCATCAAGTACTAATCAGAAAATGGCTACCCCTTCCAGCTTGATCCCCCACAGGCTTCGAGTCGTGGTGCTCGAGCATCTCCACTCTTCTTTTCCGACCATGCTACGCCTCTAACGCGTTTGAGGCAGCTGTCTTGTATCGCAACCCCGTAGACGTGTTGCTATCCCGAGATTACCCAGACGCCTCAAAAGCAAACTGAATTGTACGTTAAACTTATCTTGCCTCTCAGCCCGTCAACTATTCATCGTGCAGTAGTCACCCCGCCAAGATAGTTGACATATGTTGAGAGCGCAGACCGTTTTGGATTACCTCTTGACAAAGTGTTTTCTACACCGCTGCAGATATCGGTATAACCCCGTTGATATTCGGTTCGCGAATTCCCGTTAGTGCTGATGTCTGAAGCATTCGGGTGAATTACCCCATCGGGAAACAATCCGTGCGCAGCCAACGAGTCAACGAGCAGCCCATACCTCGCTGCACTGTGAATGGTCTCAACTTCAACGCGTCATAACTCGACTATGAGACCTAGTTTAAGATAGAGTTAGATATATAGAATCTTACCAAGCTACGGTATGGAAAAGATGCGCACAGCCATAGTAAGTTGCGGCCTTATTGCTTCACTTAGATTAGAATAGCCTGCTGCTAAGCTTAGGGGGTCGGTCCGAGTGTCGCTTAGTCAACGCAAATGGTGCGCTTGCGCACGTGACCGAGATATTATCATGGATATACCTATTGGACTCTAGCCTATCACATCTGTTCTGGAAAGCATAAGCCGCAAGCATCCGGAATATATTGCATCTGTTCCGGGGTCTACGGAGATAAAAGTCTTGGGTGTAAGCAGAGTGAAGTGCCCGTGCGATGCAACATTGAATTTGTTATTCTTCTTCTTTGAAGGACATCGATACAATAGGGGTAGATTGTACAATGCAATACTATTTCAGCAGCAAGAGTGACTACACGAAGATATCGGTAGTAAAGATGACATAGAGAAACAAACATATAATACAGGACCGTGTTTTACGTCCGTATGTAGCGATGCCTGAGATCATACGATGCCAAGAGGCGGTAGAGTAAGCCTCATTTCTTTGACTACGTAATGGATGAGAAACTCAATGACGTTGACACCGAATACACTACTACATACACAGCTATTTGTATTTGAATGTATATCAGAAACAGGTTTAGTTTACATCGATCTGCATATTCGGCGTCTAGTCTTGCATCACGAAACATACTTCAAGCGGAGGTCCTTGGTGATTCGGGCTAAATGCTCACACCCAAGACTTATATCTCCGTACACCCTAGAGGAAATCCGGTATATTCCGGATGCTTGCGGCTAATGCTTCCTAGGACAGATACTGTCTCCGATTTTACAGATCATAAATAGTGTCCTGTAACCACAGCATTAACCACTCATTAGTTCACTGATCTCCTATCTATAACGTTCGAAATCCTTAACAAGCAACACCACTGTTCCTTAAAAAACACAATCTTCCTACAACAATGAAATTCACTCTTATCGCCTCCGCTCTTCTCAGTCTCGTTGCCGCAGGACCCCTAGCGTCGCCTGATGGTGCGCACACCTTAGGAAAGCGTCAAACGCGCCCTATCAACTCCTGCGAACCTGGGCCAAACTTTTGCGGCCTTACACTCGCTGAATGCAACACTCAGCTCGCGGCTCTTCGTGCACCGTGCACGAACAGGTGCATTCCGCAAGGTCTTCCTGTGCGTGTAGAGTGCCGTAGTCCTCGCAACCTCGATTGCTTCTGTTAGACTGGAACGGAAAGAGAATGAAGTGGGAAAACGGCGAGGGGCGGAGTAAGGGTGAGGGCTTACTGAGGATCGTCCGAAGATGATCTTGTAGTGGAGAAGTATGGGAACTGGAGGAACCGAAGGGAAGTCGGATCGGAGAAAACATGGAGAAAAGCAGGAAGGAAGGAAAAGGGCGTAAAGACCTTCGGACAACGAAAAACACACAATACACTTATTCAATACATTCTCATGCACTTGCAGCTTCCGCTTTACACATGTCTAAGTCTTTGTTGTCACGGGGCATCAACTCGTCCTGTATACGCTTTATCTGAACAGGCTCAGACTCTGTAGATGTCTCAATTTCACTAGTCCGAGTATAGAGCAGAAGATTGACTCACAGTGATGCTAGCAGACGCTAGCACTATCTAGGTAAGGTCTTCACTGAGCAAGAAGGGCTTAGCGTGGGATCAAAGATTGCCCGCTTACAAACACTAGGAGCTGCAAGTGTCTAAGAGTGTACGAACCGTTCGGCTTGCTGCGGGGTCAACGAGGCGGATCTTATCATATCATGATGTATGATACGCAGATTCGACTTAGAGCGAGCAGCGCTGCGACAGCTGTGGTTTTGATAACAATTGCTTATCCCCATAAATACGATTAGTAGTGTTACCGTTGTGCTTACCTGACCACATTACGCTACCATGTCAGTGATCGTAAGCGTGTCACGACCAGCTCTGATCGTCGTTATGCTATTCTCTCGCTTGTCACCAAGGACATGCATCTGTTACACGGTGTTAGGCTATACTTCTCTAGGCTCGGTCCGTACTAAGGCGAGGTAGACTAAAGCGGTAGTCCGCAAGGTATCGTATAGAAGGTTTAGGTAGAAAAGAGTTATTAATGTTAACTAACAGGTAAACAATACTCATTCTATAAACAATAGAATAACTAGTTAACAATCTGTGTAAGAGATAAATTATTTAAGTTAAGTACAACGAGTGTAATAATGAAATCTGTCCATCCTTTATACCCATCGCGATCTGTTCCTGCCATCCCCAGGCGCCCTGCCATCCCTTGGATGGTTTGCCTTGGCGGGATAGCCAGACTTGTCAACAATCAAGCCAATCAATCTGAGCACCCCAGATTGAAGTGGATTGATAGCTCTTTCAAAATAAGTAGATTGAATTGATAGGATTGATAGAAGCTACCTTCCTCAATAGGTAATTAGCTAGCCTAACTAGGTAAAAGATCTACAAAAATCTTGAGATTGGCTTGATTGAATGAGCAGATTGATCCGAATCAATCAAGCCAAAGCTCGCCGTTGATGGTGACTTCCGATCTTCGACTCAATCGCCACCTACAACGATCTCAAGCCCGCACGAGGGTCACTAAGCGCAATTTCTTCTCCATCTTTTGGCCCACATGAAGCTTTACAATGAGGTCAGATCTCATCAAGAAGAGTTTTCAAGCTACAGGCGTGTGACTGACGGAAGCCGAGGTTATCCTAAAACGTTTCCACAACCTCCTACAACAACAAGATGAGGCTCCAGAACTTGGGCAACACGGCGACGGCGATAGCTAGCGTGAGCTGCGAAGGGTTTCTGACGCTGCGGTCGCTGACAAGTCAAAAGTTGAAGCCCGGCGAATTGAGGCTTCATTACATTCTCTACAGATGCAAAACGAGCTCCACCACGAGAACAACCGCCTCGATCGGTCCCTCAACGCCAGAACAAAGTAAAAGAAGAAGAGCAAAACTTCGGACCCTCAACGGCGCAAGGAGTACCACGGCAGAGCAGTATTCTAGTACCCACAGAAGCTCCGCGAAGCCAGGCACCGTGAGAGCGCGAAACAAGACGAAGCCCTCCAACTACGACTCCAAAAAACTCGCGGTACATCAAAAAAGCGGAGGCGAACAACCTCACACAAAACAGCAAAATATCGGACAAAGCGTCGTCGTGTTGCTGCTTTATCAAGTCAGGTTGACGCTAGTCCGGCGGCGGCGTCTCCCTCACCCAAAAACAGCGCAAGCGAGCGCCAAATTAAGACGCCAACGAGATACAAGTAGTACAAACAAATCATCAGCCTCTATAAAACAATGCAAAAGAAAAAAACTTCACGACAAAAGCTACTTGGGATGGCTCTACAACCTCATCTTCTCGATCGTCCCATATTGGTGAAGTGGCTCGTCACGCGAACTGGCTCGCCACGCGCATAGACATGATAAGCTATCAAGAGCAAAAACTAAACACACTACCGATTGCTGTCAGTTTGGATTTTGGAGGCCTCAACGGAGCCACTATCGGAGCAACCGAGCACGCTCTTGATGGTAATCTCCGGAGAATTCTAAACTGGGCGGTCCGCTTACAAATATAGGCTACGGTGTAAGGGCCGAATAGGTTATACACCATTCCCATGTTGGAATGCTAAGCCGATGGCCACTCATAAAGGTTATCTTATGTTCTGGCTCTTCCTTCACATTGTGTCAATATTGTACAGTCCTGTATTGTGCTCCATGCTATCTCAACGATACATTTTGACTTCTGTATGTGCTGCTTCTACGCTGATCAATGACCTGGCTAGTTTGGTAGTAACTCTGGACGCCAAGAAATGACAGAGAAGATGAGACTATGAAGCTGAAGCGGCTCAAAAGTCTTCCAAGAGATCATTCCCATGCACTTGATCCAGTGACTCATTGGCTCTTTCTCCGGAGAATATCTGAGTCTGTCTCAGATGACGCTTGCTTTAATGCTGATTGAAGGCCTAGTAGGCTTGGCCGGCTTGCTTACAGCCCTGCATAGTAAAGCCGAGGACGCAGGGAGTTTCCACACTCTCTACTGACGATAGCATAGCCGGTACATCATGCAGAGAAGAACGGTTGCCAAGGGAAACCCATGTCAAAAAAAAAAAAAAA